AATTTTCAACCCCAAACAGCAGAATACATATTACTTTCATGTGCACACAACATTCACCAAGATAGATCACATTGTGGGCAATACGATAAGTCTCAGTACATTTAAAAGTATTGGGATCATACAAAGCACATTCTCTGACCACAAAGTAGTTGAGTTTGGAGTTAATAAAAAACAATATATCGAGTACCCTAAAATATTTTGAAATTTAACAGCATACATATTAAATACCCATAAATCAAAGATAATAAATAACAGGAAATAGTTTTTAAAATGAATTATGTGAAAATTAAAACAAAGTTACAATCTATGTGTGATGGAGCTAAAAAAGTGCTCAGAGTGAAATTTATAACCGTAATTTCTTAGAGGTCTAGGTAGCTTTACTGGTGGCTTCAATGGTAAATTCTATTAAACATTTAAGGAAAAAAATAATAGTAGTCTTACACACAACCTCTTCAGATAGTAAAAGAGAACACTTTTACAACTTAGTTTATGGCACCCAGTATTACCTTGCTAGTAAACCAAATACATTAAAATAAAAGAGATCTGCATAGTAATAATCTATAGCAACATAGAAGCATAAGTTCTTAATAAAATCAAACTCAATATAAAAATGATAATCTATCATGATGAAACTAAATATCCTAGGACTGCAAAGTGGGCTTAACATTTGAAAATCACATAATGTAATATATAATGTAATTTTTTTATTTTTTATTTTTTATTTTTATTTTTTATTGGTTATGAATATTCATGAGGTACAAAGCAAATTTTCACGAAAACCCTTAAATGGTCACTTCATCCGTTGGAATTTTAAAGACCGTATTCTCTGATTATACTATCAAGAAAACTTTAAAAACAAAAGTGTAATTTAAAGATCTCTAAAAACTTTAAACCATAATTTAAACTGCATTAAATAACTTGATTAGAAAGGCAATTTTAGATGATATAAGTGATCTCACTCATATGTGGATTCTAAGAAAAATTGAACTCATAAAAGTAGAGTAGAATGGTGATTACCAGGGGTGGGGAGGGGAGGGAAGGATACAAAATTTCAGTTAACAAAAAAACAAAAAAAAAAGGAAAGAAAGAAAAGAAAAATTTTCTTTAGGGCTCCTTCTCTGTGCTGACTCAACCCCTTTAAGATCAAGAGCTCTTTCTTAAATACTGGGAAATTTTGAATCTAGTCTTTGACAAACAACAGACGAGATTGAAATAATCCAAAACTTATGAAGATACTGCTTTTTTTCAAGAAAAATCATTAAATATATTGTAATGATTTGTAAAATCAAACCATTTTAAATAAATTTCATGTTTCAATGTTCGAGATGATAAAAGAGTTTCATTTCCATATTTCCTTGATTATTTGTATCTTAACAACATTTATTGGTTTCTTGTTATAAAATATATACACAGAGAAAATAAGAATAATTAGGCATGAATTAGCAGAGAAAAGCATCACATTTCAAATCCCATACTTCAGAGTTACAGCTGCTAATATTGCAGAATCATTTATATACCTGGTATCATGGAGCTTCGTAACTTGCTTTTCTCAATTAACCAAATGTTTGTCCTTTTCCTAAGCATTACATATTCTACAACATCATAGCTGCAAAGATGGCATTGGATTAATACATTGTACTTTATCTGACTAATTTTTATTCCTGGATTTTGACATGTTTCCCAATTATATAGTATCATTTAAAAATATGCTGGCTGAAAAGTCCTTGTAAATAAATATTCTTAGAATACAAAACATATGCATTTTTGCAAATTGTCTCTGAAAAGATTGTGCTAATCCATATTTCTGCCAGCAGAGTATGAAGCTAGGTGTTTTGTCACATCCTCACTGACAGGGAGCACGAAGATTTGTAACGAAACTTTGCCAATTAGCAAATGTATAAAATTACCTTGTTTTCATTCATATTTCTTTTATTGCTAGTGAATTAAAATGAATTTAATTTTTATTGAACATTTGTATTTCTTTTTCATAATAATTGCCTGTTTGTGCCTTGGCTGCATATTCAATATTTGAAATGCAAATTGATTTATCAGAATGATTTGAAGTTTAAAAATTGGCTTTGCTGGTTAAGGGCTAACTTCAATATATGGTAAAAAACCTGGAGAAAGAAAATCTTTAGCATAGGGGTGGAGATCTGAGCATTTCCTTCATTATCTTGCAATAAATGACTGAAATAAATGTGAACTGTTACCTTCTTTTGTGTGACTATTATCTGTCTCCTGTACAAATCTGTAAACTTCCTAGAACAGGGACGCTGCTTACCTTGTTCACCGCTGTACTCCCAGTACCTCCTAGCACAGTACCTGACTTTAGTAAATGTTCAAAAGTACCTACTGAATTAACATTGAACATATTTATCTGATATTGGAATGGGGAAGATCTTTTAAACCATCTATTTAAAGGGAACCATCATAAAAGATCAAAACAGATTTTGAATAAAATTCCAAATTTTACAATTCATAAAGGATTACAAATTTATTTAAAATTAACCTGCAAAGTATGAAACACAGGTCTGTGGGCATAAAGCTGGCTTTTTATTTCTCTCTGTGACTTAATATGATTCTCAGTTTTCTTATTGATAAAATGGGAATGACAATAAGTACGGCTAATATTTATCAGCCACGTATTACTGACCGGGTACTGTTCTCAGTGACTCACATATAGTAATTCATTTGATTTTCACAGCAATCATATGAGGTGGGCACTCTTACATGAATCTTCATATTACAGATGAACAACCCCAGAGGTTAAGACACTCAGACACTTGCCCAGGGTCACACGGCTAGCTTCTCAGTCATGCTTAAAGCCTGAGCTCTTAACCACTATGTTTAATTGACCATCTGATGTGGATCTGAGGAAAATGACATGAGAAATGAAATGTGTGATGCCTAAGCCTGTGCCTGGCACGTAGGAGGAGTTTGACTAAGCCTGGCTGGAAGTTGTCACGATAGCACATACCCACAAGAAAACATTCCATTATCTATCTGTGGGCTATGAATAAGATGATTGTAGCTCTTTTGGCTAAGTCTTCATATTCAGATGGATTTTTAACCTTCAGTAAATCATGCAGATGCTTCCAAAAATTTAGATAGCCTTTATCTAATAACAGAATACTTAAAAGATTATTTTTAATTCCAGAAAGCTCCTTTGCTATCAGATTATTGCAGCCTGTATTTCTGACAATGGTCAATGGAATTATGCCAAAGTAGTACTTTTCACACTGGTTTTTTTGTAGCATTGAATTTCTTATCTCTTTTCTTTTCAAATATGTCCCTACTGACCATGCCTGGTCTCAGGAACCAAGGTTGCAGATAAGTCATGTTACCACAGGAATGAAGCTGGGTCAAAGTACGGGTACTGCCACAAAGTGAATGACACGATCGTTCCCTGCAAAGCAAAGTAAGTGTCATGCTGTTTGAGCCCTCCTGCTCCAGACACTCAGGTGATGGCACGCTTCCAGCCACACGTCCTGATTTATTTCACTTAAGGGGAAAGTGGATTGAACATCAATCATTTGACATACATTCACTGAGTGATTACTATGTGCCATGTTTGCAGCGAAGTGCTGACTCTAAAAAGACAAATAAAAAATAAATCTCTTTCTTCAAATCTCTCATGATGTGTGTTGCAGATGGTACCAAGTAAAGTCATTGTTCAGAAGAATGAATGTTTGAGATGGAACATACAACAGAGAATGGGCCTGGTTGGGAATTTGTCCATGCATTTCCCAGTATAATTTAAGTACTTTTTCAATCTAGCATGTTTGATTATGTCTAGGGATAAAAATGTTTGCCTACCCAGAGAAATAACCAACACAGTGCTTGTGCAGTGTCATTTAAACTTGCCATGGAATTACATAAAGAAAAGACATGGTAAGAGAAAAGCCTAACAATCCATCAAAGTTTGTTTTATTTTTAGTATTGATACCCTGAAAAAAATTAGAGTATCACACCCGATAAACTTGAGATTTTTCTACATTTTTTTGTTCTGCATTTTAAGATAACTTTTAAAATTCCAATTATAATAAACTGTTTGTACCTGCTCTGAATTTTACACATACAAAGTAATTTATAATAACAAGTAGAACAAGATCATCATTTTCCGAAGTGTTTCTATTAAACATTAATTTTGATGGATGACAGATATTACCAAACAACATATATTTTGGATATAGGGTCATATCCTTGGGGAATCTTGGCCTAAAGGACAATCATATCCTGTGGTCTCTCCTTCATAGGAAATCAGGTCAGATTCAAAAGGGGAAAAAATTATGTAAAACTTAATACAAACAGGGCAGGGTAAGGGCAATATGTAAGTGGGTAGTGGGAAGAGAGTAGGGTACCATCTTTTCTCCACAGCCTCTGCACACACACCATTGTCTCTGTAACTGTTTGTGCAATCACTGGATGATTTCAGCAACTGGAGGCTCAAATATTTCATTTGTCCACAGACAGCCCTCCTAGTCACTTCCTAGTAGTTGCTGTCTGTAATGGAGACAGCCTGAAATTTCCTGTGCCCTAAGGTCATCCTCATATGGCTCTACCCAAATGATTCGAGAAAAAATTTTCTCAGGTTTGGAAAGAATGCATGCCTTCCTTCACTCCTTAGTAATATTTTCTTCTGTGACCAGAGTCATTAAAAAAATCTGATCCTATCACTTTCGGAATACCTTTTTCACAACTCTCCTCTGAATTCTGTGTAAAGTGATTGACTACCATTGTACTGGTTTTAATTTTAGTCACCTTGGTGGAAAGTGGACATCTTGATTGAGTGCTGAGTAGTTTAATCTGCAGATACAGGGAGACAGTTGTGTTAGTGACCCCACTTGATAGTGTGGAGTGGCAGGGGAGGCTCAGCTTTGTACTGACAAAACTATAGTGAGAGTTGGGGCTTTTATCTGTTAGAATTATTCTGCTCCAAGTCATAAACAAAGGAGTAACTTTAGCTGAAATAAAAATAGAAACTGATTTCTTAGGTGCCCTCCGTGCTGTTAGGAATCCATCCTCTCTATATCTTCTAGCTCTGTCATACACATGACCTCCATTGCCAAGTGTTTCTCTCGGTCTATGATGGCTTCTCCAGCTCCAGCTATCACATGCCAATCAGCAAAAAGGAGAAAATGCTGAAGAATATGTCACGCTCCTTCATTTAAAGTCACCTTCTAGAATTTGTGCTTAAGATTATGCTCTCTCCCCATTGCCCAGAACTTAGTCAACTGGCAAAAATTAGCCGTACAGGAATCTAAGAAATGCTGCTTGTTTGAGCAGCAATGTATTTTGCTAATATTCAGAGGTCTTCTTACTAAGGAATAAGGAGGAAATTGAGATAAGGTACAACTAGAAATCTCTGCTATAGGGAGAAATACCATTAATTAAATATTGATAGTCATAGAGCTGATTTGCATTTGTATAAAACTGCAATTTAAATCCTGCAATAAACTTTGGCTTTTTCCTCAGTGACACCATGTGCGGAAAGTTGTTCTGTCAAGGTGGGTCAGATAATTTGCCCTGGAAAGGACGTATAGTAACTTTCCTGACATGTAAAATGTTTGATCCTGAAGACGCAATTCAGGAAATAGGCATGGTGGCCAATGGAACTAAGTGTGGAAAGAACAAGGTAGGTTGAAATTGCAACTTTCACTCAAAATGGTGTTTTTCTGTTGTCATTTGCTTCTCAAAAATTCACTAGTTGCTTTGTTGACCAATTATTGGGTTCATCATGCCTTGGTACAACAGCTAGGGATTTGAATGTAGAAAACTATGAAATATTTTAAAAATGAGAACAGTGGAGCATTGTTGTTAATATTCTCAAACATTATGGTGAAATTCAGAAAGAACTGACTCTCATAGACATGATTTCAAGAAGAGTATGACGTCATGTTGATAACACATAGCAGCATCTGTTTTCTTTTCCTAGACTAAGTCTCAGAACCCACGAAAGTGCCAGGGTGTGGGATACTGGGCTTCAGTTAACAGATTTGCACATCCGTTAACAATATAATGAACTCACAATCTCAGGCACAGTACTAATTGTCCAGGGCCGACACATAAGCTTTGATAATGAGGAGGTTCATCTCCCATAGGAGATTAGAGTTACTGTATTTATTGTACTAACATACCCACGTGACCCAAGAGCTTCCCTGATTTTTCATTGTGGTAAAGCCCATCCTGAAAATATTATCTTATTTACCTGACCTGTTTTGGCTCTATTTAAATGCAAATTTATTCACTGATGAGTCTAAAATTACCTTGTGGTTCAGTATAAGTATTGCTCATAAAAATTTTTGGAAAGTAAATATAAAAAAGTAAATGGAATTGATATGACCTCTGAGCTCATGAAACGAAAAATATAAATTTATAAAAGTTTATAAATGCTGCTGATTTGAAATTAAAATGTTAAGGTTTGCCTTTAAGAGGTATTCATAGTATTTAACCTTCTTTCTTCCCCTTTTATCTCCCCAAATATATGCCAGCATCGAGGACAAAAAATTTCACATAACTGGATTTTCCAGGTTTCAGACACTAATTTCTTTAAGTTTTCTAGTGGTGAAGCTTACAAAGACATTAAGACATCATCACATGACTGGCATGAGTGTTGCTATGTTTGGTCATATATCTCTTTGCAGCCTTAAGTCAAAAGGGACATGGACTAAGGCAGAATTTAGGTATTCCTGTGTCCCCTGGTATAAGATCATCTTATTAATGCTAGGCCTGGTACCAGGTGCTTTACATGAATTCTCTCATTTAATCCTCACAGTAGTCCTGGGAATAAGCTTTATCTTCATTTTGCAGATCATTGCTCATCTCTTAACTTCTTGTATATTCATTGCTTCTGAGATATAGAGTAGTTTGGATTTTTTAAATAATAAATGTTTAAATAAACTTTATCAGCTCTTTAGGGTAGGTTTAACTGAGGAAATACCATAAGCAACAGAGTCCATCTCCATTTCTTTCCCCTGCACCTGCCCCAACGTTTACACAATAAAGAGGATTATGCATCTTTACCTCCTCCTGTGACAATTACATGTTAGAACCACTTTTAAAAGCATCTGTTGTGGGCCGGCCCGGTGGCGCACTGCTACAGTGCGCCGCTTGGGAGCGTGGCAGCGCTCCCGCCGAGGGTTCGGATCCCACATACAGACCGGTTCCCGCTCACTGGCTGAGCGAGGTGTGGGTACAACACTGAGGGCTGCGATCCATTGCCAGACACGAAAAAAGAGACAAAAAGGAAAAAAAAAAAAAAAAAAAGCATCTGTTGTCCTCTTAATATATATCTCAACCAACCTTCTCATCTTCATCCAAAGAGGACAGAATTTCAAGGCCTATATTTCTGGGGTTTTTTTAATTGACAAATTATAGATGTGTACATTCATGGGATATAATGTGATGTTTTGATATATGTATACAACGTGGCATGATTAAATCAAGCTAATTAACATATCCAGCACCTTGCTTACCTATAATTTTTGTATGGCAAGACATTTGAAATTTACTCTTTTGGTTATTTTGAAATATTTAGTACATTATTATTTACATAATTTTCATTATTTATTACATTATTATTATTCTATTTTCCTTTTTCAAAAAAACAGTGACTTCCTTAATAAAAAGATGAGTTTGATAACAATAAAAGTGACTAACAAGATAAGACTAAGTTCCAAAGAAGCAACCATTTGCAGAGCTGAAGCTCTTGAACATTAATGCCAATTTCATGTTTTTGACATCACTTTCAGGTTTGCATTAATGCAGAATGTGTGGATATCGAGAGAGCCTACAAGTCAACCAATTGCTCATCTAAGTGCAAAGGACATGCTGTAAGTTTTGAAAATATGTTTTGCCAACCTTGTTGACTCATAATTTTAAGTCAGTTATGGTGAAACTAGAGTCACGTTTTTAGCATTAAATGACTGTAATTATTAAATTTGTCCAACCCCTCAGTTGCATAGTTCAATGAGAAATTGCTTCTGAGAACTGTTTACTGAGATTCCTGCTATTAATTCGTACCTTATGTAGACAGATGAAAGCCTGGAGATCAAGGTTGTTCCTGTTTCAGGATGGACTTTCTTATGCATTAAAGGGCTTTGGGGTTTCTGGTTGGTGTAGCGGGGAAACTGATGGGATCCTTGCTCTTCTAGGTGTGTGACCATGAGCTCCAGTGTCAGTGTAAAGAAGGATGGGCCCCTCCCGACTGTGATGACTCTTCAACAGTCTTCCGTAGGTGACATTACACATCTATTCTGGGAAAACTGCTCTCCTCCTGCAAGCCTTTATTTTGTATTATAGAAGATTTTATTGCCTCTTCTTTCTCCTTCTGGAATTCCTGTTCTATAGATATTGAATCTGCAATGTTAATCCCCAAAGTGTCTTTAACAACCTTTTAATCATATTTTCCACATTCTTATGCTTTCACTCTACATATAAAAAGATGTCCTTAAGTTTTATATTTGTAATGTTACCTTAATTTCTTTCTTGCTTGCTTTGTTCCATTTTCATAGTAGCCTTGACTTAACGGATTGATAAAATATTCTCATAAAACCCTCTAAGAACATGACTTAGATTATTTTTGTAGGTTCAATTCTGTTCTCTGAATTTTCTCTAGTTCTTTTGAGGTTGATTGTTCTGTTCTTTCACCATGTCATATGTATTTCATTGTCCTGTTTTCCTTTAGGATAGTGACCCTTAACTGAATCAAGTATCGGTGGACTTGAATTGATTCACATGGGTTTTCTTTGCATTTTTGTGTGCATGTTATACCTACTGATACCTCTCCTGATGGAAGATCTGGCTGTGAGCTCTATTAGTATTAGTAGGTAGACAGGTCTCCCTACAGGCCACTAGGGTGGGAAGGAGCCAGAGGGGGAACCCTCACTACCAACTGCCATCTTGAGGAGGACTTTACCCTAAAAAGAGCTCTTCATCACGTTCCCCTCTGAGAGAGTTGGTTTATCTGCTTCTTTCCTCTCTGTCTGGTCTAGATTGGGGATCTGTAGTAACCCTCTCTCCATGCTGCTTTCCAGGCTCCTGCATCCCACGTTGTTTTAGGGCTTTGTCCTATGAGCGTGAACCGATCTTATTCTATATACACAGGGGATGGCGATGGAGATATGGATGGGGATGGACCTGAATGAACTGTGTGTCTCAAATTCAGCTTCTTTGTTAGGCTTTCCAAGAATGAATCGCTTTTACTTGTGATGTTTGCACTATAATTCACTCTGTCTACCTAAATCTTTTAAATTCCCCGTCTTTCTGGAGTTTCTAAAAATTCTTTATTATTTTTATCAGTGATCTATGATTTTATATACATATTATACACACACACAAACACATGTTGTTTAGGATTTGTCATGTATTTGGACAGGTAGGATAGAGGTGCAAACAGAATCAACTAATTTAAAAACTCTTTAATGGTTTCAATACTCACCAAGAATTCTTTAAACTATGACTTCCCTCTTCTTGAACACCTTGTTTCGATTCATCTACTGACTTGCTAAATAACCTCAATGAGTAATTTCTTCTTTCAGGAACAGTGTGTTCACATTAACCTTCCTAAGTTGCATTTATGAGGATTTATTTCTTTTGCTAAATGGAAAATGTGCATACCAGGTTGGATTGGATTGATTTTTTTTTTAAATCACAGTTTCACTCTCTGAACTCTAATGAAGTAAGCGTTGATATTTAATGTTAAAAACCAGAGGCAAGACTGATTTTTGTGGTTGATGTTAAACAACCCTTTTAAATAATCAGTTTGGTTTTTGCTTAAATGCTTTTAAAATTACTATTTAATCAAAACTAATCATCGCTCTATACCTGGGTGGTGTTCTCTTTCCATTATGCTGTTAGCTAGTGAAAACTTTGAAATTGAGGATTTGTTTATTTCTTCAGTTCAAGGAATGTTCCTATTATTATAAGTTTTAAAATTGATTCTGTTTCACTTTTCTCATGTCTTTTTCAGAAATGTATATTTTTTATACAAAATATCTCCACTGTGTGACCTCTGAGTTATCTTCTTTACACATTGTCTTTGCACTGACATTTTTTCATCCTGAAGGTATCTACACTGTATCTAATAGAAATGCCTCAGAGTTTCGTTTTCCTTTCACTTTTTGAAAAGGAATTTTTATGGAGGGTGGCACGTATTCAATATTTGAGCTAAAGTCAGTCTTATCTAGAATTCTGCTGTCTATGTATCTGTCTGTTTGCATGTGTGTGTACATACACTTGTGATCATTTCTTTTTTTTTTTTTTTGTCTTTTTTCCATGTCCGGCAACGGATCGCAACCCTCAGTGTTGCCCCCGCCCCGGCCCGGGGACCGGCAACGGGATCGCAAGCCTCGGTGTTGCTCCCGCGCCTCGCTCAACCAGTGAGCGGGAGCCGGTCTATATGTGGGATCCGAACCCTCGGACGGGAGCGCCGCCGCGCTTCCCAAGCGGCGCACTATCCAGTGCGCC